CTGCAGAGAAACTGGTGGTTTCCAACTGCTGACCTTGCCTCTAGCAGTCCAATGCATAAGCACTACAGCACCAGGGTCCCATCTCAGAAGCAGAAATGAAGCATCTTAACTCCCATCAAGAAAGAAGAGCTAGGAACAGTGTGTCCATTTAACCCTGAGATCCAGGAGACAGAAGTGGCAGCCACATCAAGAACATGAGACAGATTTCCTGGCCCACAGAGCAAGAAAGCTAAGTGTCTTCAGGCAGGAGGCTCTCTTGCATGGGTTGCCTCTAGGCACTTAATTGGAGAAAGGTGTATTCTCTAAACCACAGAGCTAGAGCAGAACACCTTCAGGCTGAAGAACACTGGGTTCCCTTGGGGCATTTACCAAAAGCACCAGACGAACTTTCTAAGATTGCTAAAGCAGGTAGAGGTCAAGGGCTACGTGGCTGACAAGGTGAGGACCAGAGAGAGGCATGAATGTGGACATGGCTAACAGGCTATTAAATCCTGCTAACTTTCCTAATGAACCTCAACTGTGGTGGGGGATAATAGGGAGGTGATGTCAAGGATCCCAGGTAGAAAATGACTGTTTGGAAATGGATTGTGGTAGCAATTGTATAGTTCTACTGGATGTGATTGAACTATGGAAAGCTATAATATATGTGTTAAATCCCAATTAAATTTTTAAAAACTCATAATTGTCCACGAATACAGTCCACGAGTTGTGTGTGAATTCTCAAACAGCGGAAATTAGAGTGCCAGGCATGGGACAGTGGGTGTCAGTGTTGTTAAAAGACAAAGGTAGAAGTATGTCTGATCCTGCCTCCCAGGAATCAGCCTTAGACTGATGCTTATTTTGGTTCTCCTTCCCACTTGTGAAGTCAGAAGCGGTCAGATGGCATCCATGCCATTTTTACATTATGTGCAACCATCACCACAATCAATTTTAGAACATTTTTATCCCCTCAAAAAAGAAACCTTTGGCTAGCAGCCTCATCAACCTGCCATCTCTCCACACTATTAATCTACTTAATATTTACAGATTTACCTGTCTGTATCTATGGAATCATATAATGTGTGATTGGTCTTTTCATTTATCATAATAGGTTTATTTTTCAGGTCTATCCATGTTGTGGCATCTATCTATACAGCACTCCTTTTTATGACCAAATCACCACCGTGTTGACAATGCCACGTTTTTTTAATAGAATTCAACTTCAAAACTCCTGTTTTAAGACTCATATTAAACCACATTCCCGAGCTGGTAGACATCTGAGTTTTCATATTTGAGCTTTTATGAATAGAGTTGCTATAAACATTTGCATGTAACTTTGCATACAGTAGACATATTTTATTTCTCTTGGATATTTACCTAGGAGTGGAATTGCTGAATCATATAGTAACTCTTTATTTAACTATTTGAAAAACTGTTAAGATTGTTTACCAAAGTGCCACCATTTTACATATTTGCAGTGTATTAGGGTTTTTGTTTTTCCATTTCTTCACCAGCA